CAGCGTTGCCCCCAATTCGTTGCACGCTGAGCGCGTGCCCGACTGTAATACGGCATGCGCGAATTCGGCTAAAGTCTCCTGCCTGAAATCGCTGTCAGCAGCTATCTCGCCCAAAGTTTTGGCGAGTTTGTGCGCTTCCTCCATGTCGACAGCGTGGGGTGTCGGCTTTTCATGATCATAAAGCTCAGAGAAAGGCGCCACGTCAATCTGTGGTGGTCTGCTCTGTTTGCCCAGTTGTTCGAGGGTTGGCTGACCCGATGGGGCAGCAGTTGTGGATGCATCAAAAATCGGAGCAGGTGTCCGAACAGAGCTGGGGGGATTGTGCCGAAGCTGTTGGTGCGAGGATGTGCCCTGGCTTGTTGGGGGCTGCTGTTGTGCTGCTTGGCTGCCCTTGATGCGAAGGGCGATGCGCTGAACCTGCGAAGCCAATGTTTTTTGTGGGACCTTGGGTGGGGTAGGTGGCCTTTGACGTGGCTGTGTGGCTCTGTAATGCCACTTGTTGGCATCATCATCACGCACTGTAGAATAGCTGCGGAGCACCACCGAGGTCCGAGGAGGTGTCGATAAAGATCGCCTGGTGTCCCTGCGAGAACGGCTTCTGCGGGTGTCGCGGGATCGGTGGTGTCTGCGTCGGCGGTGCTGTCTGCCGCTGCTTGCAGGTCGTGCTCGGCTGCGTGTGTGTCGACGGCGTCTAGTGCTCACGGTGCGAGTTCTGCTGCGTGTGGGTGAATGCCGTCGTCTGCGTGGCAGCGGAGGGTGATGGGGAGAAGTACGGGCTGCGAGCTGGTCAGTGTCTGCCGATCCCGTATCTGGGGGTGGTTGTGCGGGTGGCACTGTATTGACGGAAGGGGTGTTGGCTGTGTTTGTTGGTTGTTGTTGGGGCGTCATTGCCGGTGTCTGCGGGGCAGTGTGTGCAGCATCGGCAGTGGGAACACTGGTGGGGTGGGGTTGTGGAGCTTGTTGGATTGTTGTTGGCGGCGGTATGTGGGATTGTTGAATGGGTTGTGTGGGAGGGATGTTGCAAGGTGCAAGTTGGGGTTGTGGGGCAGGTGGTGTAAAAGGAAGGTTGAATGTGGTAGGTTGGGCCTGATGCTGTGCCAAAGCAGATGGGCTCATGGGAAAAGCTGTTGGATGGGTAGGCAAAAGAGCAGGGTTCATGAACGGGGTGGGGTGTTGTGACATGAATTGCTGGGGTGGAGGTTGTTGTGGCATCTGGGGTTGTGGTGTGCTGAGATGTGTGTAGACCGTCGGATGCTGTGGAATAGGAGCAGTGTGTCCACACGGCATCATGGGGAAGCCGTGCGTTTGCTCAACAGGAATCGTAGTGGGTTGTGTCGGCAGTGTGGGCTGCTGAGTGGCAGCAATGCCGGTTGGCATCATTGCTGGGTAGCTTTGTGACTGCGGTACCCAGGTGTTCTGGTGAAATTGATTAAGCACCGGTCGGGCTGTTGGTGCATAAGGTGTTGCTGGTGGCTGCGCGGCAAAATAATCCGGCCACATAGCTACAACGAAGTGGGTGAAACAAACACAGTTGCACAAGCAAAGTGCAGGCTGTCCTGATTGTCCCTGCTGGACTGATTTGAGAGGTCGTAGACGGAGAGAAGGAAGAGGGCCGAGTACTCTCCGAAGAGAGCGCTGTTTCACTCGCTGTAGACACTGTTACCACGTCTGCACTCATGTCAGATGCACATGCCCTTGCAGTCCCTGAGGAATAGAGGAGCGGTAAAATACGGGGCAGACTAGAGAGGTAGCACCTGCTCACTAGACGCACTTTACTGCATTAGCCGTCCCTTACTGCACCTGCGCTCATGTCAGACTCACATGCGGGCATCAGAGAGAGAGAGATAAAGTAGCATCGGGAGATTCTGAACGATCTGAACGAAGGCTGAACACCCGGTTCATCACCGGGCTCCCCGGAGGGTCACCACGGCGCCATGACGGAAAGCCGTTGCTCTGGAGTCTCATCGACCCACGCTGATCACACTGATGGATTCGGCCAAGAGTACGAGTGCAAGAGGAAAAAGAGAGGCATGTTGTTCATGTTGTAAAAGTTTTTCAGATTGCGGCAACCGTACAAAAATTGTTTGTCTAATCTGGACACCACAGGGGGCCTGTCCTCAGACTAATCTTGGCACCACAGGGGGCTGCCATGCAGGTACAAGAGGATGATCAGTCCTCTCCTCCCATGTCACTGGTAGCTTCGTTGGACACAGTCCCAGTGACATGCTGTGTCCCCCTGCAACAGTTGATTTGGTAAATATCCAATGTCTGATTAAGTTGAAAAGCAAAAATTGCAAACAGTGTAGGAGTGACCCTCTGCTCCCATGTGCTAGGGAGGTTCACACACACACACACACACACACACCACACACACACACACACACACACACACACACACACACACACACACACACACACACACACACACACACACACACACACACACACACACACACACACACACACACACACACACACACACACACACACACACACCACCACACACACACACACACACACACACACACACACACACACACACACACACACACACACACACACACACACACACACACACACACACACACACACACACACACACACACACACACACACACACACACACACACACACACACACATGCACCCATGTAGATACATAAGTAGATACACATACACATGCGTAAGTGAATACCAGTAACAGCAATAGTAGTAGAAGCAGCAGCAGCAGTAGCAGTACCAGTAGCAGTAGCAGTGGTGGTAGCACTTGCCGTGGCAGTAGCAGTCGCAGTAGTAGGAGCAGGAGCAGCCGCAGCAGCAGTTGTAGTAGAAGTAGCAGTAGCGCAGTCGCGGGAACGGGAGTAGGAGCAGCAGCAAGAGTAGTAGTAGCAGTAGTAGTTGTAGTCGTAGTCGTAGTCGTAGTCGTCGTCGTAGTCGTAATCGCAGTCGTAGTCGTAGTCGCAGTCGTAGTCGGTCGCAGTCATAGTCGTCGTAGTAGTAGTAGCAGCAGCAGTCGGAGTCCGAGTGGGAGTAGGAGTTGGAGTGGAGTCGGAGTAACAGTAGGATGAGGAGGAGCAATAGCAGTGGTATTCGACATCGTCGTAGTAGTAGCGGTAGCGGTGGCAATGGCGGCGGTGGCAGTGGCAGTGGTAGTACTAGCAGGTAGCAGCAGGTAGCAGCAGTAGTAGCAGTAGTAGCAGTAGTAGCAGCAGGAGCAGTACTAGCAGTAGTAGCAGTAGAAGTAGCATGCGTGTTCTTGGCAGTTCTTTGCAAGAGCTGCTGCCTTGTGCAAGGTACCTGGACAGGCCACAGCTCCTGGCGAAGGATTCGACAGCGGAGCAGTTTACATAGGGCCTAAAAATAGTGAGTGCGTCGTGCGTGTATGTGTGTGCCTCTGTTTGTGGATGTGTGGGTGGGTGTGGGGCTCTTGAGGTTTAGGTTCCAGTGTCCATCTGTCGTTAGGTTGATGCTGTAGATTGATGCCTTGGCTGGAACGTGGCTCGCAGCCTTAAGCCCTGAAGGAGTTTACGCTGGCGCAGCGTTACGCTTTCTCCTACCATCCGGAGAACCGCTGCCAGCTCGGCGACTTATCCCTCAGGCCAGGATGTATCGGACTGAAATTGTCTCCTAGGTTGAATGACTGCAACGAGTCCAAGCACTAGTAACCGTCTCCCCTTCATCACATGGGATTAAGCTACTAGTGATCAGCGCGAACAAAAGGTTTGTAGCGGCGGCCACAGCTGCTGCTCCTTCTCCTTCCCTCCCTCCTCCTCCTACTGCTACTGCTGCTACTGCTACCACTGCTACTACAACTGATACTACTGCTACTACTGCTACTGCTGCTACTACTGCTACCGCTGCTACAACTGATACTAGTGCTACTACTGCTACTACTGCTACTACTGCTACTACTGCACTACTTCTACTGCTGCTAATACTGCTGCTACTGCACCACTTCTACTACTGCTACTACTGCTACTACTGCTACTACTGCACTACTGCTACTACCGCCCCTACTACTGCTCCTACTACTGCTCCTACCACTGCTCCTACTACTGCTCCTACTACTGCTCCTACTACTGCTCGTACTACTGCTCCTACTACTGCTCCTACTCCTGCTCCTGGTACTGCTACTGTACTGCTCCTACTACTGCTCCTACTATTGCTCCTCCTACTGCTCCTACTCTCGCCACTGCTACAGCTGCCGCTACCGCCACCGCCACGGCTACCGCTATCGCTGCTGCTGCTGCTACTGCCACACCGCCAATGCCAGTGCTGCTGCCACTACTGGCGACTACATATGTGACCGCTGCTCCTATTCGTGATCACACTATCATGTGCTGTGCCACGAGGTTTTTCCTTTGGCTCTCGGTGGACCCTGCGGAGCTCGCTGATGTCGCCAGGGCAAAGGGCCGGCGTGGGGACGTGCTGAGCGAAGTGATGCAGGAGGGTGCATGCAGATGAATATGGACATGAGTCATGAGTATACATAAGAGTCGGAGTGCACTCTTGTGCACCTACATATATGCGTTCATGTAACTTGTAAGTACAGTGTTCACATGTATACACACATGATTATGTATATCTACATGTACCTGTACCTAAATCCGTACACCAGTCCCCAGGCGCAGAGATGTAATTCAGTGGCGTGGGTGCTGCGGGTTGCATTCAGATTCTCACTTCATTCGGCACTGGCTTCATCAGCGAAAATTCTAAAATTAGCATGTCGTTGACAGGAGAGCATTGAGCTGGTAGGCATGGTAAGCGAGCTTTGTATCATTCTTTTGCGAAGGGTTTTCAGGGAAGACGGAACATTGGAGTCAAGCAATGTCAAGCATAGACAACGCCTTCGAATGTCGAAAGTTATAAAAGGCCATAGATAAGCCTGGTAGTGATGGCACACTTGCTGCACTGCGCTGTACACAGCACCCTCCGAGAGCGAAGCGCGCTTAAGCCTCGTCCTTGACGGTAAGGAGACCCTGGACTGGTTCTGGGACTTGAATGTCTCCTGGGCTGCTAGAGCCCCGGCCGCGTAAAGGGCTGAGTTTTCTGATCGCGAAAACAAAGCGGCTTTGGAGTTATTGGGGTTGATGTGGCTAGCACCCGACGGTTTTCAGTTGTGTGCCGCCCATTGCCAGGAGGTGCATTCGTCTGGTTGGCCACTTTTCAGTATCATGGCAGCTGTTGGGACCCCAGCTGTGTCTCATTCCCGTCCTTGCTGTGCGAGCTTTTGTAGAATGGCTTCTCGCGAACTCTTCGCCCGACCGAGAGACGAGCTTAGCTTCAATTAGAGGCTTCATTTTGCGCGATCATTCGCATGTGGGTGCTCCGTGTGGTGGCCTATCGACCAAGCAGGGCATGCAAACCCCCAAAATTTTCCAAAGACCTGCAGTGAAGCAGCTGAAGTCCCAGTCCTATTGATGGTGGCCTCTAAATCTATGGCTGTCCTGCTCTGGCTTGGGCGAATTGGCTCGCTCGCATTTGAACTTCGCCTGGCTGTTGAGGTGTCGGAGAAGCTGCGTGACGACGGCGCCCACCCCGGCTTGCTTTGCATGATGCAGTGCCTGGAATCGTAGGTGTTGTAGCTACCAACGTAAGGACCGTAAGGCAGTTCAGCCTTCATTTGGCCGAGCTACAGGCATGTTGTTTGCATGCGCTGGCGCGCCAGTAGTCTTTCGGCACACCGCGAAGCAGTCCTCATGGTACTTTCTGAGGCAGCTGCTGTCCTGAACCGACACCGCATCTGGCTTGTTGCACCTAGGCCAGGAGATCTGCACCACGGAGGCGCAACTTGCCCCGTTCATTGACTCTTTCGACAATGCCATCATGGTCGGAGGCTCTGGCTTGTCGGTCTGACGCTGATGGGAATAGCAACGTCAATTCCAACAGTTGACTCGGCATTCTCCAGCAGATGCTCTTGCTGCTGAGATGTTGAAGAGGGCGCATTGTGCTGGAGAAGCTGTAAGCTCTAGGGTGGCTGGGCCAGGGATAACGAAGCGGAAAATCAGGTCCCTGCGGAGCACTGTGCGGCGCTTCTCCTCGAGGCCAGTGCAGACATGAGAAACAGGAGTGAGTACGGACTCAGCCGTGGACTTGTGAGGCATTCTTAGAGACTTGGGTCCCCCACTGGTTTGCTTGGGGCTGTCTACCGTTCTTCCCCCTAACCACGCACCGTCCACGATTTTGACCTGCATGGCAGCTCAAAATAGTGATAGAACACCATGGACTTGGTAGGGATAGTGACAGCAATTTCATCACCATTGGTAGTGGCAGCACCTCTGTCAGCCGCAGCAGCAGCAGCAGCAGCAGCAGCAGGAGCAGGAGAAGGAGTCGCACTGGCACTGGCACTGGCACTAGCAGTAGCATTGAAAGAGCAGCAACGGTAAGCAAAAGAAGAAGCAGCAGCAGCAGCAGAATTAGACCAATAGTGATAATGGCAGCGGTATTTTCGCTGCTGATGTCTTCTGCTGGTGGTGCTGGTGGTGGTGGTGGTGGTGGTGGTGGTGTTGGTAGCAGCAGCGAGGGGAAGGGAGGAGGAGTAGTAGTGCAGGAGAGGACTGAGCGGCACCGACCTCTGTTGAAAGCTGCAGCGTCCGGTCCTTCCTGCAAGGCACCGCAGTGCCCCGATGTTGTGGCCTCAGCCCTTCTCGCGCTGGCGGATGTCATGCGGACCACTGCCTGGCAGCAGTCGAACAGGCGCCAGCATGGTTATTATGATATTGCCATCGACAGTCACTCTTACGATTGTGACAAGGGCTGCTGCGATTGCGAGGCTTTCTATCAGCTTCTGACTTCTGCTGCCCCTAACGCAAGACAGCATCGGGTCGTTGTTGGTAGTGCAGTGTGGGGCGCATCCCAGAAGACGCGGTGGAAAAAAACCCAAATCAGCGTTCATGCTGCTAGCCAAGGGTCCATCTCCTGTGCGCAGGTACTACCAATTCACCTCAGAGATGCCTAGAAGGCGGATCAGTCGCGACCTAAAGTGAGCAGGTAACCTCACAAGTGCATCCTTTCAAAATCTGACCAGTCAGCCACCGGAGCGGGATGCCGAACGGCTTTTGCAGCAGGCAGAGGCCCGGGCTGTTGAAGAAACACTGAGACCAGCAACCGGGAAGCTGCTTGCTTTGACTTGCCCCTCTCGTGGCAGCGAATCGGACTGCCAAGAAAGTGGTTTTGGAGGCAATGGTGCGGTCCCAATCTGCACGCTGGTCTTGGCTGACCACACGGTGGCCAGTGTGGCGTCTGCTGGACCGCCTGGGTGCAGCAGAGGCATCGCTGCATCATTGTGGGTGAACGGAGCACTTGCAATGTTGTTCTGAAGAGCCAAAACACTGTCCGCAGTGGTCTTTCTTCAATGAGCTGGGAGGCTGTCAATGTCAGCTCTGGCGGCAGTTGGTTTTGGATGTACGTCTTTCCTCACAGGCCGGGTTTGTAGGGTTGAGGCTGACATGTTCCAAGTTTTGTCTAGGGATGAGATTTGCAGAATTTTTCTGAAGCTGCCAGTTGGTGACCACCACGGGCGGCATACCGATCATACCAACAACATACTATGACGTTGTACATGCTCTTGCTGCAAGGGTTTAGCTAGTAAGTACTGCTCCTCTATGCACGACTGCATAATCACCACCGCTCCTAGGAACTTCTACTACTACTGACCGCTGAGGATGTGAAGGGACACTGGCATCAGTCCCGAGAAGCACACTGTTTCATTTCTGGGTTATCATTACCAGTACCAATACCAACACCTCTTGCTTTCATTCTACCTGTGGGTGTCGTGTTGAGCCTTTACCACGACATGAGAACATGAGAGTGCTCTTCCGACAGGGTGCGGTCCGACGGCATCATTTCCAACCGGATCCGTGCCACGTCCAAGGCGTCACAGGGGACTCCAGGAGAAGTCGCACGAGTGCTTTTTAGAGCGGAGTCTCGCAGGCATATTGTCTGCAGCTCTTCCAGGACGAGGTTGCGACGCTCTGGGGGTAAGACGGGCGAGCCTGTTCAAAGTGGAAATTGGCCGTGGCGGTAGCTCGAACTGTTCTGCGAGAGAGCTTGTCATGCTTGGTCATCAGTGGCAAACTCTCAGGGTGCATAGCGACTTTGCTAGGAGCAGTACCCCACCCCTGGATAAATCAGTGGAATTCACAGCACCACATCGTCTCTGTGGCGCTCTTTGTTGTGCATTCTGAAAGAACCGGTAATTGCCTGCCAGTCCAGCCGATGACAGACTAGCCTTTAGCCGGGTTAACATGACCAAATTGTTGCAGCGAATATCAGTTTCTTCATGTCGTGTAGAGCAGGCAGCTGAGCAGCAGCAGTAACCTGAGAATGCTTGAGGTCGGGCCGAAGTAAACCCACCCAGCAGTAGCAGAGTGACACGATCCCAGCAATGCGGATGCTGGTCTCAGGGATTAGCTGCGAGACTCGGCATGATACTCTCCGGTGTATGCCGGCCATGCAAACAAGAAGCTCAGTCTCACACAAGTCTGTCTCTGTCTTTGTCTCTCTTGCTCCGCTTCCTCTTGCCTTCTTCAGGCGAAAAAGTAGACTCCAATAACGGGCGCTGGTACACTTATGTACAATTACCGGAGAGAGGAGATAGGCTGGCTGGCCTCAAGCCGTGCTTGCCCCGCTAATGCCAGGTCCGGCGGCTGTTGGAGCAGATGCCAAGGCCCCGGCCTTACCTCGTCCCAAGTCTCGCAGAGGGTGATTGGCTGCACCTTGGTCTTTTTGCCAGTCATGGCTTGTCGTGCTCCTGTCGATGCCTTCAAGCGCTCAAAGGGCCCTATGCAGCGGACTTTCTTCGCTGTTGCAGGAAACTGCGGCTGGTCGAAGCGACGTCCTTAGTTGCTGGAGCAAGAGACACGCATTGTAAGAGTGCGGCTCTTGCTTCATATCTTCTTTTCTTCGCGCGCAGAGACGTGGCAGTCGTTCATAGAATGGTGCTACATTGCTGCTACATTTTGCAGAATGGCAAGGGCGGAAAGGGAACCCGCTCTGTCTGATATGAGATTCTACGAACTGCAGCGTAGGTGTGGCACGGGGCGAAAAACTAGCAAAGAACGGCAAGGACTTCGACTTGGCATATCGGTAGCTCAAGTGCTTGGTGATGCTCCAGAGTCTGCAGAGGCGTGATTGTTGCAGTGGGAACCAGGAGCGTTTCCGCCTAGGGGCAGCTGCACGATTGAGACAGCAGTAGACAATTGCTTGGGCGGGGTGCAAAAAATGGAGAGGGGATAAGCTTTAGAAATGTGGTCTTTGAAGAGGAGAGAGCGGTACCGAGGTTGGCCCACACATAGGCCCGGCATTGTTTCTCTTGCATTCGCTGCTTTCAGATGCACGGCGGGCAGGCTGCATCGAATCGAAACTGGTCCGCTTTCGTTGATAACACTGTTGATTGTCTGTAGAATAGGATCTGGAATAGTCTGCTGGTGGTGGTGCATGTGTTGCTGTAGGGACTGGGTGTCTCTGCTCATGTGCATGCGTTCTTCCAGCGTGTGCCCGGCCTGATACCCATGTCCATTGCAGGGGACTGCATGCTTTGGGCCGCGGCGGAATTCCGGGAACAGATTCGGGCAACCGCGGTCGAACCTGTGGCACAGGCCACAGCCCTTGTTTTCTGTATCGGTTTGATGGCAGAGAGAAAAACGGCATCTGCAGGTCGTCTCTCTCTTTCGCCGCAGTATTGCGGCAAATGGCTTTGCGCCGATCATCGCGTGGTGCTCGGCAAAAGCAAGCTGACCCAAGCCCAAGCAGCTCCCGGCCAGTCAGGACTTACACCATGCCTTCTGCGGTTCGGAGAATTCTGGAGGCAGGCTGTCGCAAAAAAGGTAGGGCTGATCTGTCCATGCGCTTCTCCGAGACGGATCTGCAGTGATCGCGTGTGGGAGCACCGCAAAACCTTCAGCGTCGTCCTTTGAGTGATGTTCTTCGAGGCACTGAGCCACCAGCCACGATGCTCCAGCCATCCATTCCCTGGATTCGCTTGCGCCCAAGCTCGATGGATTCGTAGAGTTCAAGAGCAGCCATGAGCAGCCGTTCTATACCGCCTGGCTGACGGTTTGCCGGCGAGGCTTGGATTCCGTGGTGGACGAGGATGTCAGAGCCCTGCCCACGTGCAGAGACTGGCATCTTCATCGTAGGTGGTAGGCCATTGCCTGTGCAGATGACACTCCGAGGTGGACATCCTGAAGATACACACGAATGGCGGAGAAAGTCAAATCCTCGACGGTGCTGAGAAGCTTTTTGCGCGGCATGAGGTTCGCCGTCGCAGCAAGAGGAATGCAAGTACTCGTATTTAGTTTGCCGTCGTTTGAGCGTGCTCACTGCATGCGCGTTTGGACAAGTTCATCCCCACAGGTTCGCGTGGTGATCCTGCACTCAGCGCGCATCCAAGATCAATTGAGGGTTGTTCCAAATTGAGTTCATGTTTGGGGAGCTCTGCGCATCCTGTGTAATGGGAGAAAGACAACTGCGAATCACTGCGAACCCGCACTGCAGAACGAAGGCAGAGCTTTGGGACAGGAATGCTATCGCTGAACAAGGAAGGAAACAGAGGTCGTCTTCTCCCGAAGGCAAGCGAAGCCCGAAAACGGAAACGTTGGTGAAACACAGTTTGACCAGAAATGTCGCAGCAAGCACTGGAGATTGTGCAAACAACCAAGCCACGCCTGGCCGCTTTGAGCTCTGCAGCAGTAGGGTTTTCTGCCATGTCTCCATGTGCATAGTTTCTGATGGATTGAGACGCACGACACCCGTGAACTCTGAATCACGAGCCCTAAGATGTAACGAGGCCGAAGCTCACCAGCTCTGGCCATCGACCAGATTTTTATTGCATCGGAACTACGACGTCACCGTGGATGGGCGGAGGTCCGCAACATTTTGCAACAGCTGACCGAAATTGAACCATCTTGGCCTGGCACCGAGGATGTCTGAATCTGGCAAAGATGAATCTTGGCTCCGGACCCGTGTGGCGGAAGTCGGAGGGCTACAACTTCATGCGTCAAAAGATTCATCTATAATTTATATCGATATATAAAAAACAGACGTTATCTACCTTGTCTATATTGAAGAACATGACTCAATAAATCATCATTCTGAATCATTTCAGAAATATTTCGATATTCATATTATCTTATCAATATATTCATATTCTATTGAAAAGAAAATTTATCCCACCTAATATATAATACGAATACGTTGG